CCATTATTATGTCATAGAAAACACAAGGAATGTGTAAGGAAAAAAATAAATAGAAGGAGACAGATAGAGGAACCTGCAATGTGCTTCAGCGGTATGTGTGCTGTTTAGATCTGTGATTAGCTCCAGGACCACTGATGGTGATGATCTGAAGCACTGCAGGAGGCGAGTGTGTGCTCCGCATTTTCAGGAACCCAAGGCAAAGCCATGATGAAGACCAGGCTGCAGCAGGGGAAGTGGTGAAGAAACAACTGTCTAAGAACTTCATATGCAGAAACACTACTGAAATTCTCTCAAAGAGGATTGGGTTTTTTGATCATCCCTTACACTTAACCAGAGGGAGAGGAAATATTACTATCTGAAGTCCAGAGAGAATGGACTTGCCCGACTGTGCAAACCTGAATTGACAAGATACCAACACAGCTTTACAAATCCAAAGAATTTCATCATTCTTATCTTCAGATTAGAATTAGAATGAGATTTTTTTTTTTCCTATTTGCCCATTGCTGCCTAAAAGCTAATACCAAGAAAGTAATTTTAGCAATTGATATTTTTATTATTTCTTTTTTTCATTCCAGCACATGTGCAGTTTTGTGGTCTGTTTTTTCTTCTGCATTTCCCATTTCCATGAGTTTTGGTCTCTTATATAATGGCATAATCAAGCCAACAGAAACGGTAATGTTTCTTTTCTGTGTGCTGCATTTGAATCAAACTAATGCCATGACAGAAAAGGAGATGAGACCTAGGGAATACATAGATCATCTGAAAAACTTTAAGAAAGTTATCACCGCAAATATTTGCAAGTGAGGAATCACTGAGTATTTTTATATGGGTGGCTTACCTGTTTTCCAAATTCCAGAGTTCTGTTTCTTGTGGTCAGCCTTTGTGCTTATGTCAATATCTTCTTTGCTTTAGATATGTATATATAGTGATCCATTTGGGTGATCCAAAGCTGAATAAAGTCAACAGTGGTATTTCCATTAATTTTATTCTGTACAAGGCTATGTTTATATCATATTCAGTAGTTTGCAATCTGATCTTCTGTGTTTGCAATGCAAAAAAGTGCTTCTGTGCCTATAACCCATTTATCATAGAATCATAGAATCATAGAATAGTTAAGATTGGAAAGGACCTTAAGAACATCAAGTTCCAACCCCCCTGCCATGGGCACTAAACCATGTCACCCATGGCCTCATTCATCCTGGCCTTGAACACTGCCAGGGATGGAGCATTCACAACTTCCCTGGGCAACCCATTCCAGTGTCTCACCACCCTAACAGGAAAGAATTTCCTCCTTATGTCCAATCTAAACTTTCCCTGTTTAAGTTTTAACCCATTACCCCTTGTCCTATCACTACAGTCCCTAATGAAGAGTCCTTCCCCAGCATCCCTATAGGCCCCCTTCCGATACTGGAAGGCTGTTATGAGGTTCTTCCTGAACCTCTTTTAGTTATTTTATTCTTTTCTGGGGGGAAAAATCCCCTATCTGTCTTTTGGTTTAATACATTTTTAATAAGGAAATCATTGTTATACCTGGATGCAAAAAAACCCTGAATATATTTTCTGTGATGAAGGCTTAAAGGAAATAGAAATAGGTATTAAAAGTTAACTGACTGCACTAAATAGTTACAAGGAGTGTCAATGATTTTCCTGATATACAGCTGCGCCCAGTCTTTGAAGAAAATCATTCAGTTTCAAATTAAGAGTTTCTAGCTCTGCCTAGTTCTTCCCATGCTCCATGCCTGATGCTAGAACTAGATGCAGAAAGATGGAAATACTGGGAAGGAAAATGACACCTCTGGGAAGCACTTCTTAGTTATGTATGAACTGCCAGGAAAATGTACTCGTGAGATTACATCCAGGGGATCTGCACCCTTAATCTATTTAAATTACAGAAGAATGCTGAGACTTTAAGGGATCTTATTGTATCTCAGCCTATGAATTTCTCATATTCCCACTGCTACTAATAATCACATATGCAGAGAGTAGTTTTATTATAGCTACAGTCTGATCCTAAGTTCATATCTGGGCTTCATCAGTCATTTGCAAAACATCAGCCTGAGGCATCCTCTCTGTTTTCTTGTAAGATGCCTGAAATGACTCCCTTTTTCCCATTCAAGAGTGAAAACAAGCAAAAAGGAGAAGACACAAGAGGAGATGTTTGGTTTCTCTCCATTACCCTGTGAGACACATTTGTATGTAGAATTCTGGTTCCGTCCCCTTTTTCTCAGAAGGGGAGCTACCAGGAAGGGAAAGGAGAGACACTTGTTCAGTCTGGTCTGTGTCCTATGTCAGTGTGTGACTGGATTAACTCTTCTAAAGCAAAGAAGAAAGCCAGGTGCTTTTATTTCTAGCCAGTCAACCTGACCACAGTTCAATTCCAACAGAAATACATCTTCTGCCTTGTCATAAAGCAAATTAATTGTGATACACTGATATGCTGAAAATATTAGAGAGCTCAAAACAGCCCTTATGGAAAAGGACTATCTATTTCAATATGGCAATTTCTTTGTCATTGTGGCAGACACCAAGTAGCTGCTTCCTCTAACCAGACCAAAACCAGAGACACCATGGCTTGACCTACTAGGACCATTCTGGCTTAGCAAAACTAGGAACGACATAGTTAGCTATGATGTGGCCTTACCTCTGTGGTTTTTAGCATGTGCCTCGTTAGACTTTAATTTGGTTTTCTCCACCAGGTGTTCTCTTACAGCAATCTGGAGATAAAAGTTAATGCCACAAGAGTTTGTTTCTTGAAGCTCTTTCCGGAGTCAGTGAGAATTGAAGGTAGATTTGTGTCTCCAAAACCCACTCATAAAGAAGTTGCTATTTAGCATCCAGTTCTGCCACCCTGACCCTTATGTTATCTTCTTCTGCCTTCACTAAGCCCTCTCCTTAGTTCCTGATAGTCTAGTGTCTAATATACACACAGTGCAAATAATAATGGCAGAACTAAATTTAAAGAGGATTGAAAGTCATGAGAGGGACAGGGAGAGAAAAACAGAGAAGGAATACAGTTCTGATGTATGTGTGGTGCAGTCTTTCTTTGCAGTAATGAAAACTTGAGTGTCTCACTACTGTATTTAGACAAGACTACAGAGACCAGTGGTAACTCTTCAGTGGGGGTGAACTGAGAGCAGAGTGCCCCTTTCCCATTTAATCTTTATTTTCTGTATGGAATGTTTTAAAAACACAGAAGCCAAAGAGAACAGGTTTCGCTAGTATAATTTGCTTCACTTCCCAGGTTGGGGTAACCCAGTCACTTCAGGCTGGACCTGTGAGGGGCTGAATGCTGAGCTGTTTGTCTCCTGCTTTCCTGACCTCCCTGAGCTGCAGAAGGCTTCTTGTCTGTTATCTGTCAGGATCCTTGCTGAAAGCTGTTTCTCCTTCCGCTGCTGAAGCATCCTCATGCAGAGGGATTGTCAGGACATGTCCTGAGGTGAGTGAGATATTGTTGTGGAGGGCTTTGGATTTCAACTTCATTTCTTGTTCTGAATGCAACTTATTTTCTGCAGAAGATTTTGGAAAGCAGATCAGGCTGTCCTTCAAAAAGAGCTATTACAAGGCTGAAAGAGTTCCAACAAGGAAGATAGTAACATCACTCAGTGAAAAGGGATCCTTACCAGACTCTCAATTACAATCTGCAACTTCACTAAAAGCAACAGAGCAGTATAGGCATAAGGAATGAACAGTTCTCTCCATTTAACTTCTGAGGCTGGCAGGAGCTGAGGCAAAGATTTACAGCTCTTGATAGTGTCAAGGGTTTGGATTAGACCTCTTGCTTTTTTTCTATTTGGATGCTCAGGGAGCTGGTCATGACTTTCCTGTGCTCAGTGATACTTCACTCCAAAAAGACTGAAGATCCAGACAGTGTCAGAGCAGTCGTGAGCTGCATGAAGCCAGGCAGAAATTCTGACCCTTTATCTTGACCTTTATACATTTGGGGACTTTCCTCTTTGAAGAGGAATATCTTGCTTTTCCACTTGCTATATGCTGATAAAGCTATGAATTGACTCCTTTGCTCTGAATTTTCAACAGTTCTGTTCTTTTAAAGATCATCTTTCTTCTTTCCCTTCTGCTCCCACTTCCCCCAGAGTCCCCATGCCATGCCAAAATAGCACTGGGCATGACCCAGAAAGAAAGGTGCAGTGTTGAAGTGTGTGTGTGCTTTGTGGCTTTCCTGTGCTTTCATTTGACATCGAGCTATTCATGCAAGAGAATTAAAATGATATGAGCATTTTTTATTTTGCTTTTTTTTTTTTTTTCTCCTCAAAGTTTCCCTTCCTGCACTCCACATAATAACTTTGGGTTTTGGGTTTGGTTTTTTTTTTTTGCTGGAATTAACTCCCTCAGGAGAAATCTTATGGGCCATATAGGACCATGCATTGCAGAACTGCAGCATGCCTTGAAAATCATTTTAGCACACACTTGGGGGCAGTTGTGTTTTTCTGCGATTCAGTCAAGCAGCTCCCTCCTAAACTAGGAATCGTTATCTTTGATTCTAGTGGCTAATATGATGGCTAACGTGACAATTTGGGTGATGGTTACCTCTTGTGTCCTCGTGTGAATGCAGGACAGTTACCACGTGTGTACCTGTAAAAGAAATTGCCTGTTTTTCCCCACCGCAGTGTTCATGTACAGCTGCCAGAGAGAGGGAAACGGGTTCATTGTAAAAAAAGATGTGTAAGCAGTTTGAATGTGGTGAAAGTTCTTATGGTTTTCTATAAGCTGAAAACAATATCAGTCCATGATTCAGAGCCAAAGATTGAATCCTAATTCAAAGTATGTATGTTTGCTAATACCTGAAAGCCATCAAAGGGGGAAAAAAAAAAGGAACAAAAGAAAGTCTGAAGAGGCAAAGAGAGATTGCCTGTGTATGGCTCATCACTGTACTGGACAAACTACACTTCTGTTGCTGCCCTCCTTGCTGGGCAGGGGCAATGCTTGGAGCTCCTGTTTGACGGGGTACCCCTGTCTGTCCCCTCTTCCTGGGTATGGTGGTGATCTACCCTCTGCAGCAGTGGTGGTAATGGCAGGAAACTTTATAGGTAGAGGCTCACTTTAGGCAAGAGCTGAGAGAGGCTGCCTGCCTGCAGGCGCATTGGCAGTGCTTTTTGTGGCAAAGAGCTACCCGGGGTGCGGTAGGAAATGTCTTGCAGGCTGTTTCTATGTTAAATCACACCTCATCCTACTTTTCTGAATCCAGTGGAGGGGCAGGGGTTATAAACTAGCAAAAAGCATTGGCCCCTTGTGTCTGTGCCTAGTCTGCTCAAGTTAATTCATTTTTTGGCTCATTACATTTTCTGCCCCATTACTAATTGCCTCTTGGGCTCTACTCATTGCCAGGGTTTTCTGACCGTCAAAACATTACTAAACAAATGAACTAAATAAAATAAACCTTCTTCAAGAGCCTTCCCCCAGCCCTCCCCTTGTGTTAGTATTCCAACTGCGCCCAACAGGTAGGCGTCTGCACTCATGTTATCTGTATTAATTAGACTGTAATACCCTTGGCACAAGACAAGGACAGGGATGCAAGAGAGTCTCTCCTGCAGCTTCCTGATAATTTATACCAACCGAAAGCCTGCTGCAATGTCTTTCGCTAGTGCCACATGTACCAATAGTGATGCATAAATAAGATTAATTTTTATTAGTCATTTTCCCTTCCAGGTAATTATCCCCTTCTCCAAGATATCAGAGCCCTACGCAGTGTTTAATGAACATTTTGCAGCAAACTCCTAAGGCAGAAGCACTGCTATCTCCAGACAGACGGCTTGTGTCACCCATGGTCATGGGAGAAGTCTCTCATAGAGTGAAATATGAACTTCAGTTCCTCCAGGTCTAGATTAGTGCTCAGATCCCCAAATCCTCCTGCCCAGCAACTACCTCTAGTAGTTGTTTACTGCTCTCTGACTTTGCACACTTCTATTTTACGCTGAATGTACCTAAATTCTTCAGGTACAAAACCTAAGAGTTGAAGTAATTTGCCCTGTTGTATTTGGTTTCTTATCTTTGCAACATCAGCATTTCTTAAAATCAGAGAGAACAGGAGGGTAAACATGTCTGACTCAAGGGATAAACTTGCCATGTTTTTCATTATGGCTGATTGTTAATATAATCAGTTCAGTAACAAAAGTACTACAGTGAACTGCTTAACCTTGAGCCTTACTTGACCAGGCTGTGAAGGACCTTCATCTCCATGTTACAGTAACAGCAGGGCAGGTTTCATTATGCAGCCAGTCGTACTATGGTAATAAAAGAAGCTCCAAAAGCAGGTTTGTTCATTACTGCTGGAATCCATGTTATCTGCCAGGGGCTCCATCCTTATCCTTACACAAGTAAGCGTCTTCTCTTAGCAAGGTAGTTTAGCACCAGGGATTGTCCTCTGCTGCTCACCTCTTCCCTCCTCAGTGGTTTCTGTCTCCTGCTGCCTTTGCAGAGCCATAGCTTCCTTCCTCAGCAGCAAGAGTAGCTGGTTGCTTTTGGCACCCGTTTGGTCTCAACTGGCCGTTGCTTGTCTCATGCCTGTTGCAGTGTGAAGGTGAAGATGGAGAGCAGTGCACCTATATCCTGCACTGCACTTTCTGAAGCACCTGCTCTTCCTCATCCAGAACAGGAGTGAGGCCACAGCACTGGAGCCCTGTGGTCCCATGAGCAGAGGACAGTCTTCAGCAGGAGGGCAGAGCCAGGGTGCACCAGACCCCTGAGGCTATGCATGGGAGGCCCAAGCTTTACCCTCTGATGCAGAGGGTAGGTTTGTTCAGAGCAGGGCTTTTAGTCCCTGAGGTACTATTAACATCATGTTTTGAGCCACTTTGGGAAATCACACCATTACCAAGGTCTTCACTTTTCCACATTCTTTTGGTTAATAGAAATATTTAGCTGAAGCATGAAGGCATTGTAGTTCTGACAGGAAAACACACCGAAAAAGGTCCGATCTTTTCTTTCTTTTTTTTTCTTTGGGCCTGATTGTCTCTGCTTGTTTATGGCTGCCACTAATTTGCTCGTTTGCTTGCTGGAAAATAGCTAATTAAAACCCACTTCAGCTAACAAGCTGACTGGGACCATGCAAATGTCACTCTCTGCTGTCTGCTATTTTCGTTTATACTTTACATTATTAGTGTTGTTTTTCCTCCCTCCATAGTAATAAATGCAAGGATAGATTTAGTACCCTCTTCACAGGTGTGTGCTTGTACATCAGCACATCATCCCGAGAAAAGTGCTGCTGTTTTACTGCACTTCAGTACTTTGAGTGTTATTACCCCTGACAGTTAATGGTTTCAGACTACACTGCTTGTTAGCACTAGGTTCTGAACAGCTTCATCTATCTTTTTGTTTTTACACTGACTGGTCACATTAAGTATATGTGTCTGAGCTATTAGTCCCGTCTGTTCATTGCATGCATTTCATTTGGTGCGTTTTTTCACTAAAATTAGTATGTATTGTCATCCATATACTTCAACACATCGACTTTTGTTATAATTATGCTGTCATCATTTTGCTTCCACACACTTGCTAATTTATTGTAGCTAAATTAGACCTAATATTAGCGATTTTGCAGCTGTTCCCGTAGACCACGCTCAGCCATATATTTGTACATTGTTTGGTAATTGGATTTGAGGGCTCAGGAACGGACGATGGCACTCTTTAGAAACAAGGGAAAGATTTGAGGAAATGGGGAAAAGATAAAAATACAAGCCCCAGAAGAGGCTTCGGGGGTGAATTTCCAGAGCCAGCTTAAAAGCTTTTCACACACGGCCAAACAAATCAGAGAGTTAGTGTACCACATCACAAACTTTCCAATAGGCATGTCGCATTCAGGCAGAGGATTAGTCATTCCCCCTGAATATGCTTTTTATTTTAACCAAGACTGGACCATGAAAAATCCCTGGGGACCTATGGAGGCTCTTGGGAAACGGTTCTTACTGCAGCACATTAGAAATCTCCAGGAAAGGATCTCAACATCAGGGGAAGCTGCTCTGAGATGATTTCTGCGGATTGAGCTGTGGGGAGAGAAGGAGGGAAAAGGGTTTTGTTTCAGAGTGTGAGCTCTCCATCCCTGTGCATTGATACCCATCTTTTGTCGCTTATCCAGCCCCACTTCAGTTGATGTCAGTGCAAGCAGAAAATGAAAGGGATGACTTTAAAAGAGTGAACAAGGAATGCAGAACAGAGCTGCACAGCTCTTACGTACCCTTTCTGGGCACAAGTTATTTTATTGTCAGGGGTGTAACACTGGCAAAAGAAATTATGAGAGCCTGCCATTGAATCCTATATGGCCTTTTTGTAAATAATTTTCTGACATGATAGAAGACAAAATTGTGAGGGAGCCTGTTCAGGCTGATGCCACAGAATCAGTTTAATACCCAGTCCAGCAGAAGAAATAGAAGAAACTTAATCACTAAAGAGCATACCCTTAACTGAAATGGAACTAAATTTTCTGTGCTCACGATACATCCACCTGCTTAATAGGAATATTATCACAAGATGCAGTGCTGTGGCAGACCCACATGCAAGTTTAAAAATAAGACAGTGAAATTAACCAAAAAAAAAAAAAAAAAAGAAGGTATTTGCTCAGCTCTCATCTATAACACAGAGTTCTTTCCAACTCACTACAAGCTGTTGCAGCAGGCTGCGTTCTGCTCTGTTCCTCCCTCGGCCAAAGCTTAATTTCTATTTGGAAAAGAATAAAGCAAAGTGACCTGCCAAAAGTAAGACAGCATAGGGAAAGTCATCTAAGAATTCAGGCCCTACAAGTGTGTTGTACATGAAAGGAAAGTGAAGGCTAAAATCCAGGCCATTTAACACATTTTTAAATGATGGCAACTCCCACAAAATAGTTAAAAATAACAAATCCAATTTAAAATAGCTCATCCCCCCTCACTTAAGAATAATTAATAACCAAACGATTGCCAGATGATATTCTTTTGTCCTGACAAAGCCTTCATTATCCTTCCTTTTTTCACAAATATGGGGAGAAGAGATACATAGGTCTTGCAAGTAGCCTGAACAGTTACTGGATGCAGTGGTGTCAGAAGTCAGTCTCTTGGCAGTTGTTTCCAGTGGATGCTGTGAACACGATCAGCAATACCCTGCAGGGAACAGGGAAGTATGTGCTTTGCTCATTTACTCTGCTTTGGGTTTTGAGAAGTTCATTTGTTTTTATTTCATGGCAAACTTTCTCCTGGCCAGTTTTCTCTTGTACTCCTTGATGTTGGGACCCAGCTAGGTCAATCTCTTCTTAGTGGCCATTGCCAGCACACCTTGCCTTCTTGCACAGCCCTAGTTTTCGTGTAATTTCTTCCCCTTTTGTCTTTTCACTCTGCATGAGATTGTCTCGCAAAAGAGGTCAGCAATGATTTTTTAGATCTTCCCCACCCCCAGTAGTTGCCATTTATGATGAATATTGCCAAGCAGTGTAGAAATACGCATGCAAAGAGCACTTGCAGCAGAGGATGGATATAATATATTATAATTTACATTTGAAGGTGAGCATAAAAAGAGGAGGTTTGGCAACATTGTCTAGCTTGCACGTGCTCTTGGAGCTCTTGTTTGTGCTACTGTAGTGTAACATCTTTTCTGTCAAGCTGCTAAAGACCTACTAAAAGGGTACAAAGTGAAGTCATTAGCAGAAACTTGTTTAAGGTCTTCACACACATATGTGCTCTTCAGGTAGCTGGCTGGGCAGTGCTGTGAGGATCTCACTTGGAAGCTGGAGCAATAAATGTCATGTCAGGGGCCAACTGTCTGTAATCACAGTTAGCAGGTTGAACAGACTTGTGAAAATATTTTCTTTATGTGAAGGGAGACGCTGCACACTTTACCACAGCAGAAGTTGCTAAACCTAATGCAATATGACAAGTCCTTTGGCAGCAAAAGCCACATTCAGTAGACACACTGCCTGTGAAATGGCAAAGAAACAAAAGCAGTTTTTCTGCACAAATGTCATCTCCTCTCCCTTTTGCAGTATCTCTCACCTTGTCCTGCTCTCACACCCTTTGTTTTTGAGGTGACATTGGCCACACAGTGTGGTCTCTTTCTACATCACCCCATCCATCTTCTCCTTCAGGTGCCCTGGGACATAGCTTTTCCCCCATCCACAGCCCTGCTAGTGATGTTCATGTTAATATGCCATCCTTGTGCCTAGAAATCCAACTGGTGAGGGGTGCCTTGCTCTGCTGGGATGAAACATGGGGATGGAGGGGGACCTGGCACACCCCAGCAGCTTCCCAGGGCTGCAGCAACAGGGAACCCCTGCCACCCCATGAGCCATGGGCAGACTGCATGTCCCATGTGCATGTCACGTGGAAGACGTAGCATGTCTGTGGCAACCTCATATTACAAACAGCGTCTGCATCAATTTGTGCAGCTGGTGGTGAGATTCAAAAAACTCCAGGAGACTGCTGTGGGAGGTGGGAGTCTGTCCTCTTGCTTTACCAGTGGCACCAATGGATGACCAGGTGGGGCCAGGCTCTGCATCCCACCACCATCTCAGCAGGTATGTAACAGCGTAGACTCTGCTGCCTCAGAAGTGGCTCTGGCTTGTTATCTTGGGAGACCTGAATAGAAAGCGAGTCATACTGGAGTCTCCCTTGGCCGCTGTTCAACCACCAAGGCAGTATCCTCTTCTGCCTTGCACAGCACCAAACACTAACGCTGCTTTGCTGGCATAATGAGATTTCCCTATCAACTGGCCTTCAAGAAGGCATCCTAAAGTCAAAAGCAAAAAGGTGAACCAATGCTGTTTGTTTCATGCAAACAAGAGCAGTGTGAGTACATAACCTCTCTGAAGCTTTCAGTCTCATCCTCCACTGCTCTGTCTGGTGGAAGAAGGTGCTGGACCACAGCCTGAGTCAGACCTTTCTGCCTGCAGCTGTATGACAGTGTTTTGCACTCTCTTTGCACAGATGTAGATGATTACATGAAGTGTGAGACAGTGGAGAATCAGGCTCCTGAGGGCTTCTTATGAGATGGCAAGTAATTAATGACAGTGTGCAATGTAACAGTGAAATCAAGGGTTTCACTTGCAAAACAGTTATTCTGTCACTGAACTAAGAAACCACTGGTACAGAAAGGAGATTCCCACAGAAAAGTTTTCCTGCAGCACCCAGGGTAGGTTTCTGCAATGGCTTTGCACAGAATCCAAACTCAGTCTTTCGAGCCAGAACATCATCTGTATCAAGACATGTTCAATGAAGGAATAAAAAGAGCCCATCAAGAAATGGGATTTTGGGATTTCCTCTTACTAAGAATTATTGTCGAGTTTCATGACAACTGGCAGCAATACTCAAGGGCCTACAGGGAAGCACAGTGCTGATCCACTTACCATTCAGTTTTACCTACCTCTGCAGGACTTCTCTTCCCCTTGGCAAGATGCTTTTTCAGCTCAAAGGGGACAGACAAAAGCAGCTCACAGTAATTTTCTGATCTCTGTTTTTTTTTCCATTAAATGCCCAAGGACGAGATCTTAAAGAAAAGCAACAAAGAAATAAGAGTAAGTGAAGCATTCTAAAGCTGCTGCTCCCTTTCACAGTTCTTTTCATCAATTTGGCTTCTTAGAAAGACAATGCCATTAGAAGAATGGGAACAAAGCATGTGTGAGGGTGTATGAAGGTAGGGAGGTCAAGAAATACACTGCAGCAGTATGCCAGGCTCACATTTCTTATTCTTGACTCATTCCCCAACAAGTCACTCCATACGAAAGGATGCAATGGCAGTGATTGGAAAAGCTAGTGTAGCATCTCTTGAACTGCGGATAATTTCCAAGTTGCACTGAGTGTGACAGATAGATGAGCTGATTTAGTAGCGAGGGTGTATATGCTCAATTTCTTTAAAGCTGTAGCAGGGAATAAGTTATAAAAGACTCCAGGCACAAGCATTATAGAGGAGAAAAGTAACAGATTGGTATATAGTATTTGTTTGAGTTAAGAGAATGATTTAAGCCTACTAAGAAATGAAATTGCAAGCAATATACATTTTCCTTCAAGTTTTATCTGACATTAGCCTTTGTGTCTCTGTTTTCAGATCAGGGTGCAGGTCTTTCTGGCTTCCACTTTTCTCTCCAAGTATTCATCAAACCTCAAGGATCATTTCAGGCAGGATCACAGCGTATTGGTCCCTCACTGCCTTGCACTTACACCACTATCTCTAGTTCATTTGAAGGCCAGTGGTCTAGAGAGTTTGACACTAGCACCAGGCAAGGTGGAAAACCAGGTCTGCCAGCAATCCCAGTGGCGTCCCAGTACAGCAGTGCAAGCTGAAGCTAGGGAGTGCAAGAAGAAATACATTTGAGCTGATTCATATTTAAATCACATCACCTTGCTTCACAGCATTATTTTCACTATCACGGATTCTTAAGCAGCATTTAAACCTGTTCTCTTAGCTGGCAGCTGCTGCATGTTGGAAATGCTGTTTTAGAAGTCGCTTTCAATGTACATATATAGATTTAGAGGCTGCGTTGCAGAGAAAGTATTTTTTGCTGACCCTGCTTTGCTTCTTATAGCTCAGGTGGACCCTGAAAATATGTCATGTGCTGTACTGGCTAATGAAATAGCACTAATGTTGCCATCCTAAGATTTTAGAGAGCTGTAACTTGTTTTTACCATAGGATTGACATTCATTTTGGATATAAATTCAGTACAAAAATGTATAATAGATTGTTTAGTGATATTAGGGCAGTAACTATTTTTCCCCTGAACAAACTACCCAAATAACTGAACCAGTGTAGTTAATTAGAATCGATCTCACATTTTAGCACCAGGAAGTACATAATGGAAGATAAGATTGATTGTAACACTGGATCACTTCATTTAAAGACTGCTAATAGGCTAAAATGACAGAACCAATCTAAAATTATAATTTCAGAATCAATATAATTTTTATAACGTTGTCAAATCTAAAAAATTAATCTAAATTTATGCTGTGAAACTAGCAAATCCTTCCTAGCTATTATAATGAAATGAGCCAACATTTTATTATATTACTTCTTTAAATAGAAAAAAGGCTTCTTTATTGGCATGGCATTGCAGCAGACGAGATAACCAGGCTTTTAGTTTGGGAGGTATCTGCTCATTTCTTGCTTAGGGCAAGAGTAGAAATAGATTTTAACCTTCCCTGTGTCCACCACAGACCCATTCTTCCACATTATTAAACCACCACAAAAATGTGAGAACAGGCTTCGTTTCGGAAGTAGAGATCAGGACTGGCAGGAGAGTAGCACTTCAGGAGGGATTTCAGATTTCCCAACTAGGCTGTAGTGGAAGCACGTGCCTCTTAGTTTGCCACTGCTATCCTCACACCCTCAGAAGAAATGTAGCCTCATCTTCTTCAGAAGAAAGAAAAGGACAGCTGTGGTAGCTTACAGACAAATATTTTCATTCCCTTAGAAATTCATTCTGGGAGCAGGGCCTGACCAAAAACCACATTGCAGATTTTCATAATACTGAGGGCCTTTGAGCATTCCACCCTTGCAGATGTAAAAAAAAAAAAAAAAAAAAGAAGGCTGCTTGCATGGCTTCAGGGCTTCAGCTCCCATTGATGTTTCTTTGGATGTCAAGTGTTCCAGTTGTTCTCTCTTCCTTATTGTTGGGTTTTGTTTCATTTTCAGTAATGCTCTCTGCAGAACTTATAATGACTTATTTGCTGTGATTTCATAGCCACTTTTATATACTGAGCACTGTGGCATTGAATGGGCAGAAGTGGTCCCCAGGTGCTTCCCAGCACCCAGGTGCTCACCCAGGGCTGTGGCTCTTGCTTCTTTCCCTTGACCAACAGCAGCCACAGCTCTCAGAAGCTTTAGCAATCACAGGCAGCCCTGGCAGCCACAGAGCAGAGCTGTTTGCACCCTTGAGTCCCTCCTGGAACTCCTCATGTCCTTCTATAGAGAGCTGTATTACTTGGGAAAATCAGAGCTACTGCTCTCCAGTAATCTGCGGGTAACGAGTCAAACCATGCTCAGGACAGGTCCTCCCTGTGAATTGTCTCTGTGGGCTTATGAAGCTGATGCTGATGTGGTTGGCAATAGCTTTATCTTCAATTACTTGCGCTGTGTTGCCTTAGGATGAGGCTGTTCTTTCTAGATGTGGTAGTCCTATGCAGCTGCCTTCTGCTCAGGGTAAAGGCCAAGCTATGGGCAGTGTTTCCTTCTGAAAGCACAGATACTGTTGAACTGCTCCCCAGCCCTGGCTGTCTTCACTCAAGACTGCACAGGGGCGAGGGCACCGGTCTTGCTGAAACCAGGAGAGCATTGCCATAGATATCAATCAGGCCAGGACTGTGATTTGAATGATTCCCTGCCTTCAGTAGAGAGGGAATTAAGGTGTGTCCAGAGAATTTGGTTAGAAACCACCATCCCTACTTCTCCAAAGAAGCTGCAGAAGCCCCTTTCTGCAAAAACGGACTGAGCCTGGAAAAGTAGGGCAGAGCATCCTTACAGACAAGGCAATTCCCTTGCTTTTGCATACAGAACCAGAGGCGATGAACAGGCAAATTCCATCCTGAATTCATTTTGCAGCAAAGGGAGGTGAGGCTGAGTGTGTCGGAGTGCGACCTGCATGTGGGAGCTGACCCTGGGATGGCAGTAATTATTGCAGGAAAGAGCAAGAGAACACATGTACGGAGACCCCAAAGAGCACTTTGGAGAGCTTTGTGTTTCTTGGAGGTTTAATGTATTATAATCTGATTCGGCACAAGCCAGTCTGGGAATAAACGAGAAATGCAGAAAGACTAATGATTTGAAGTGCATGGGGAAGTGGAAAGAAAACAGTGCTTTAAAGTGTGTTTTTTCCCTTTTATGCAAGATCTGACTGGGGCCAGGCAGAGAGAGCAAAAGGCTTCTGTGAGTTAACACAAAAGTAAAGCAGTACTTTAAAGAGGCTTTATTTGCTCCTTAGAGTCTTCTTTTGATTTTTAATATCTCTGAGACTTGTCAGGGAGAAAACAGACAAAGGCATTAGATTCTGGGTCTTGAGCAAAGCTCAGGGACATGAGACTTCCACAAAATGAAAGAAATTACAGCCTGAAAAAGTTAACGACCTTACCCAAAGTGCTGCAACAACGTCAAACAGATGTCTTTCATTGATATCAAACCCGTCAAGATGGTCCATCCGCTGTTGCAGTCTCTTGCATTGTCTGGACAAGTGCTTTAGGCTGGTCCCAGCATATCCCCACATTTCTGGTTGAACTGTTTCAGCTGGATGGAGAAGGATAGCAAGCTGGGGAGAAACCTGGCACCAGACCTGCCTTTATTAACTCCAGCAGGAGGGAGCTGTCCAGGCAGTAAATACACGTAGATTACACTGGCTTTTCTAAACCCTCTTTCTTACTGCCTGCCTGGGCCCACAGCCTGTATCCAGGTCTCTCTGTCCAAACACTGTTAGGGAAAAGGAGGCTGAGGGATATCCCGGCTCCACTAGGTGGTACAAAGTTTGTGCTTTTGGTTTAGTAGGCTTATAGCTGAAAGTCCTGACGCCATTTCAGCTCATGATCCAAGAAACCAAGCTTACTTTTCAGTCAGGATCAACTTGACTTGGTTATTTGAGTCTGTTTCAACTACACAAAAGAAATTATTTCAGCTTCATTGGGTATCTGTCACAGTTTCATGCATTTGTGACACTTGTCTGCCTTCCGCTGGTTTCAACCAGAAGAAAATAATGCTGACAGTAAAGATGCTATAAAAATTAGAGGCTGAGGTAAATTTTGCCAAAAGCCAATTAGAGATTTGAAAAACAGATAGACGACTCAGGCCAACTTGAACTCTTCAAATTGAGCTTCTGGTGGTTCCAAAAAAGTGTAGAGATTGAACTGACTCTGAAACTCCAGCAGATGGTGGATGCAGCCAGAGAGATGTGCAGCTAACAGAGACCCTCTGCTGAGAGAGCATCAAGGTCTGCAAGAAGCCCACAGAGCATGATGACTGCAATTGGGACATGAAAATGGCCATCTCTTTGCAGAGTGGGTTCTCAGCTATGGAGAAAGGTAGCAGTCTCAGCACCAGAAGCTTTTTTTGAGAGCAGCCAGTGATCACTGGAGATCATTTAAGAGATGCACAATAATTTTCTGTACCATGTGGAGTTTTCCAGTGATAGCTTCATGAAGAATAAGCTGCACTACACCAGCCTAGGGATTGCAAAAATGTTGGCATATGCCTTGATTTGAGTCAAGCATGGGAAAACTTGGGTTTTCGTAATCATGAGTGGAATTCATTTGTGATAAAACATGAAAAATGGCTTGTATTACTAGGTTAAATGTCACTAGAGCAAGTTGTGAATTTGCCCATATTTATTGCTCGATTTAGGATAAGGAAGTGACTGCCATGAAAAGAATGTGCAGGGAATATGTTGGGAGGGTTAGCTATTTTTAAGCTGTAGATTTCTGCTGAACATGAGTCCTATGGCCATTACTTAATCTGCAGGACTGCCACCATTCTTCCCAGCGAGGACTCCCACACATATCCTGTTTTTCACTTTTCTGCGAGAACATCTGCTTGTGGTTCCTCCATCAGATTTTGAAAATACAAGTCATTCATGGTGGGACTTTCCATCATGCCCTAAAACCTTGGATTGCCAGTTCAAGGAGAAGACTGAGTGGCTTTGACCACCCAGAGCACTTGGATGTGTCTATTAGGACTTACCATTCTGAAGGTGGAAACTGACGTAACGACAACGGTGAAATGATCCTTTGCTAATAACGAAAGTGATAACCTTTGAGACATCATAGAAAATATGCCTTTTTTCCAGCAGATCCATCAGAGGGAGAAAACATGGAAGATGATTGTCTATGCCAGCCCACCCATCCCGCTAGGACTTCTGCTCATGCTATGATCTTTATTCACAGACGTGTGTGTTAGAAATATCAAGAAGTGAAATCAAAGTTTAAACCAGTGACTGTTATTCTCCCCCCCGCCCCAAGAAATGCCCATATTTTCTTTAAAATGCGAGTATATATGCTTCAGAAGGAGAAACAAGGTTTAGCAACAGTTATCAGAAGACAGCAACAGTCCTTCTTCTTTGCACCACTCCATCAACTCTAGCTAGGATGATGATCCAGGTTAGATAGAATCAAATCACAGTCCCAAAGCTGTTGTTATGTATAGCTGATGTAGCCATCGCTCCTCTGTTGCATCTGTGGAAGAAGAGGTTTCACTTTCTAGACCACCCACTTCAGAGAAAAGAAGCCCCACACTTCATGCTCACTGCATTTGGCAAGTAGTCCTTAAGCATTTGTGTGCTCAGCCTGACTGCTAGCCTGAACAATACTGGCAAGGTAAGAGCTGGCCCCAGCCCATGCATCTAAATCAGGGGTTCTCAACATCTGCTTTACAGCTATCTGTGGCAGGGAAAGTCACTTCAGGGGGCT